TTAGAAGCCACAAAATAGGGGCAATGTGGATTATCATCCATTGACGAACAGATAAACAAAATGAGTGAATGGGATATGCAGCCATAAAAGTGTACTGCAGCATGTATGCCTTGAAAGCTTCTAACTGAAAATAGACACAAAGACCATATGTTGCAGTATTATATGAACTATCTAGAATGGCAGGTTATGGAGGGAAAGAATGGGGAATAATAGGTGATGTCTAAACTATGCTGAGCCTCTTTAGAGAAGGTAGGAATGTTATAAAATTAATTGTGATTGATGCACAACCATGCAAATATATTAGGAGCCATTGGCTGTATATTTTGAGTTGATAATGTGTGTGATATATGAATTAAATCTCAAAAGCTGTTTTAAAAATTGAAAGACATGGATGTACATCTCACAACTCTAAATATTTTGTTGGATGGCCTTGAGGGAGTGAACTGCTTTTTACGAACTATAGAAATGATTCCTGAAAGTGAAGTCTTGTGAACTGCTTTTTAAACATCTAGTTTCTGGATAGAGATGGGTGGAGAGATGGCTTAGTGGTTAAAAGTACTGACTGCTCTTGCAGAGGTCCTGGGTTCAATTCCTAGCACCCACATGGAGGCTAACAAATGTCCGTAACTCCAGTTTGGGGAATCTGATGCTCTCTTCCGACCTCTGCGGGCATTGCATGACACAGGTGCACTCAAATACATGCAGGCAATACACTTATACACACAAATATAAAAATTATAAATGAAATATTAAAAAAAATCTAGCTTCTGCATTTGAAAAAAAGAATATTTGATCTTCTGTTTGCAGGTGTGAAAATAAAGTCATCTTAAAATAGGCAAAATAAATTTCTAATAAATGTTGAGGGTTGGAGAAGTGGCTGTTATTAATAGTAAGGTACATTTGTGCTCAGTGAAAGAGCAGATGTAGAAAGCACAGCAGTGGAGGGAAGAGGAAGACTGTGAAGGCACAGGACACCTAGAGGGGGCAAGCAGGAGGAGAGACAGGCCCTGGGTATTGGGAGATCAGTGAGGTGTGATGACTAAAAGCAGAAATTAGAGAGCATCTTGTAAGGGGAACTGAGGAAAGTGGGCTGTCACGTGCATATTTTGTAGGCATCCAAATCACATGAGTTACCAGATCTGTCACCTTTTGAGTATTCAGCAGTTTTCAGAATTGGGATTTTTATCCTTTTCTCCTGCATTTTAGAATGCCTGGGGTTCTGTGCTTACATCCCATGATACAATTCTTTTCTGCTGGCTAGGTCCAGATACTTGTCTTTGGAGACTATCCTAGTTTGTTTCTTCATTGCTATGACAAAATACTCTGACCAATACCAACTTGGGGAGGAAAGGGTTTATTTATCTTACATCTTCCGGGTCACAGTTCATCAGGGAGCCCAAGGTAGGAACTCAGGGCAGGAACCTGGAAGCAGGAGCTGGAGCACAGGCCATGGAGGACCGCTGCTTACTGGCTGGGTCTCCTGGCCCCTGCTTAGCCTGCTTTCTTACCCATCACAGGCCCACCTGCCCAGGGACAGCACAACCCACAGTGGGCTGGGCCCTCCCACATTACTCAAAAATCAAGAAGGTGCCCCAAAGACATGGCCACAGGCCAGTCCAATATAGGAAATACCCCACCTGAGGCTTCCTCAACCCAGGTGTGTCAAGGTGACACTAAAACTATCCAGCACAGAGATGAAATAAGCACACACTCTATGCAAAGTGAAGCACTAGGCTGAAAGCACGTGAGGGCAGATAACACCAAGGGCCAGTCGGGGATTCCTCATTTCGCAGCCTTTCCCACTTTCCTACTGTGGTGAACAACCCTCACTTGGACTGCTCAAGTTTGGAGATGCAAAGTGGAGCCCTGATCAGGAAACAATCTCAAGAAAATAGGCATCCTGGTGCTGATGGGGGCGGGGCTTCCTCAGGGGCAGGACTTCCTGGACTAGGCTGAGATGTCAGTTACCTTTCTCCATCCTGCACACGGTTTTCAAAGGCCTCTGGGTTTGGAACTCTGCACTGCCTGCTTAAAAAACTGACCTTGTCCATTGCACAGATGTGTGCTCTTGGGAAAAATATCTCACCTTTTCTGAATTTATTTCTCAAGGCTGGATATAGCTTTTTTTAAGGCTTGTAATTTTAAAAGATAAATTTTGTAAATTGACCGTATAGTCTGAATTCACATGAATTTCTTTTTTTAAGAAATATTTTATTATTTTTT